GGGTAAGGAAGTGGACGCGCGAACGTTGCCTTCAAACGTTTCTGCTGACTGCAGTTAGTTAACCATCCTTCGTGTTGTCGATTACGTTACCATGCGTTGGAACTAAGATGTCCTCTATTCCAGTAATTACACAAATCCCGTCCGTTGAGCAAGAATATCGAGAGAGTGAGCGGCGTCTGTTGAACAACGCTAATTCAATAGAACATGGCGAATATGGCGTCTTTTGAACAACGCTAATTCAATAGAACGCAAGCAGTCCACTGAAGATATCACCTATTACTAGCAGATTTTACCTCTACTGCCTTGAATGTCACGTATATCTTATTTGGTTAAATTATTTGACCGAATCACTCATCTTTTCGGAATCGATTTGAGCACTATTGGCTAAATTATAGTATCGTGTATTATAGCATATCGAATGAATAGATCATACAGCCAGTTTCGAATTTCTCTCGAAATAATACATATTTAATAATGCATTCATTTTATACACATTATTGCCTTAAATTATCTTACTACATGTATATTTACTTATAATATTTATTAAATTATATACTTATTATTACATTACACATACACTTAAAAGTAACTTTTTGCGTTTCACAAGAATAAAAAAAAGAGAGAGCAAGAGAGAGCTAGTAAAAAGGATAACAAAAAACTTGCGTACATATATCTCCTTTCGACATGTAATTTTGATAATTTATGGTTGATTTCACTTATGGCGATTCACGCTAACTCGTGCGAAAAAAACTACAAGAAGAAATTACTGGTATACTATTAAAAAACAACTGAACTATTATTCTTCAATAATATACTAGTAATTTTATCGTATTCTTGTAGTTTCTTTTTTGTATGGGAACGACGACGATTTAATGGTGAACATAATTAATTTTCCAAAATATGATTTACAGATTGTTCTTCGTCGTTGCGGACAACGATATGGATTTATCATCATCATCATGAAACGGCTTCTTTGCAGGCGGACGGCGTGCTGTTTACTGGTGAATATTTTGCTTGCATGTAAACGCTTCTATTTTCTGTAGCCTAGCTTGCGAAGGGCCTTTAGATCCACATCACCATAGTAATCTTGGCTGAGAAACGTATAACAATATTATTTGTGACTTAATCGTAACACGCATGTGAGGTTATTTCCAACCTTCAACTAATTAAGCTGATCATTAAAATGCCTGTTCTATCTTGGCGTGTATATAGCTTACAAATTTACATCAATTAATAATTAAAATTAAAGAATTCATTATGATTAATAATAAATTATACAGTCAAATTTTCGAAAGATTTATTGAAGATATTCAATTATCTGATGATTAAAAATAAATTATAAAGTCATTTTGGTAAGTTTGCAATGCGACAGAGAATAAATATTTTGTAAATGTAACTTATACCTTCAAACGAAAATTTTTTTTAATCTCTCCACGTTTAAAGATCGCAATTTAAAGTTGTGGTTGAAGGTTAATTATTATTTTTTATTACATTCATATTATTAATATTTTGTTAATTGTAAGTATAGATATTTCATTAATATGTAATCAGTGTGTTTGATATTTTGCATATACTCTTACATGAATCTATCTTCGATTTATCTTCAATCTTATCTTCAATTTTTATCTGGGGTAAGGTATAAGGTGAAATGGAATTCTTAAGGTATTTTATAATGATAACAACAATAATACTAATAATATTATTACTTCCTAATTGTTTAACTTCTTCAATTATTACGATAAAATGAATCTAAACATATAAAATAATTGATTTAAGTTAATATGTTGTTTTCTAGTTTTTAGTTAATGCACCTTGCATATGTGTTACGATTAGGTTACATATATGTTTTTAGATTATATATATAAGTATATGTCATGCAATAGAGATGATTATACACAGAATATGTTACCAAATTACTAAGTACACTAAGTACATTAAATAAACTACACATATATTAAATATACAAATATATATTGACATTAACAATAATTAAATAATAGAGGATTGATTAAGATAAAGGATTTAGGATAACCAGATATAAAATATATTCGCATTCTTATTACACATTTAATGCTAAACAAGGCTGTATATATTTCCTTTTTCATGCAAACTAAATATTACGTATGACATAAATCGGTCTTAGAATCAAATGTATTTTCAGTTTGAGCATTGACAAAATTCCTTACACGCAATAAGTAGATTTGAAAATCTGAATTTTTGTAGTATAAAATTTTCATATTGTATAAGTAGAACAAATGGAAAAATTTCACGATATAATGAAAAATTTAATCGCATTAAAATAACTGTGCGCAGGCTCTTATTGGCCAATACTTATTGTTTATCTTGAAAAGCTTTCATTACTCAACAGACGCGTTTAGCATTAAATGTGCAATAAAAATACAAGTCGAAATCTAAGAAGAATTTTCTTTTTTTTATTGTACGCACTTTTCACTTTACTTAAAAATACACGACAGACCGACCGAGCTTGCCTACATATTGGCGCCAAGAGTCGGAAAGATTTCTGAATTATAAATCGTAGACCGTGGGTCGCGCGAGTCCGATGAACTCGTTGTTGTTTGCGACTTATCGTGAAATTGACCCCTTTTATTTTTGTTATTTTAATCGTGTCTCTCTCATACACACATAAGGATTAAAATCAACATAATTTCGTGTAGGGGAAATGTGTCTTTCAATCGGGAACAAAACTCAACTATTATCAGAACTACAAAATTCTCAGGAAATACATTATCGATAGTCTCTGTAATTATCTCTGTACATCATTAAGAGATGAGTAACTTGTAAATTATTAATAGTGATAAGACAACACAGTGGGTAAAATACTTACAGGGACGACCGGTAGAATGCATTTTCAAAAACTGTTCGATTTTATAAAATGATTGTCGATTTTTGTATTGCGTTCGTGAAAATGCAGGTTTCTAATTCCTATTTTTACGTGTGAAAAAGAAAGATCGCCGATGAGACATCACAATTAACACAATTTTGCAAAACATTAACTATTTCTTAATCATTTGCCAGGACAAAATAATTGCTGGTTTCCGACAATATTCTTTTATATTGCAAAGTGAATCTTATGTGAAACTGATAAAGATAGTATTGAAGTTATTATACATAGTATTTGCAAGTTTTGTGATATATAAATTATTATTAATTTTACGCATCGTATTAGGAAATTAGCAATTTTCTTTATTATCTCACGACTGTGTGTATCTTGGTCATCACAGTGGCCGAATAATTTCGCACAACTTTTCGAAATTCGCGATTACGCTACTCGTCACGCTAACCGATCGCACTTTAAGTATCTTCTTTCTTCTATTCTATTATAATTAAAAAAATAGTATTATTCTCTGCGCATTTAAATCGCGCGGAAACACGTGATCGGGGCGACGAAAGAATCGCGTGAAAGAATTCTGCTGGAGTAAAATTCACGACAGCTCGATCACACTCCTCGTCCTCTCGGAATCTCGCGGATTTCGTGTTGCGGGCATCCGCCTCGAGATCGAGCCGCGCCTCCTTGCGCATATGATGCGCAGCGGATAATATAAGCAGAAGGATTTACGGCCTTTGAGGGCGGGTTTTCGGCTTTCTTGGCTCTCGGCGCCGATTACTTCACTCCTCGAAGAATTCTCTTTACGTAAAATCGGGGCGGGTTTCCCTCGACTATGTAATTGTGTGTGAGCGTATGCATGTGTGTATGTGTGGCAGAAGGAACAGAGAGAGGATGAGAAGAAATTGAAAGAGAAAGAGAAAGAAACACAGAGGACGAAAAGATAGAAGGAACAAGAAATAACAGAAGTAGCATAGAATAAAAGAAGTAGGATAGAAAGTAAAAAGAGCGCGAGGGAAAAATATGGCTTTGATACAATTTATTAATACAAAAGAGAACAAATGAAATAAATTAAAGGAGACAAAATAAATTAAAGAGAGGTATGAAACGGAACTAGAATAAATTTGTAAAATTTTTTATCATTAATCGGATTCCATCTAGATTTTTGAAGAATATTTTGAACGATCTAGATCCTCACCGATATAACTTATGTTTAACGATATTTCTATTTTTTTTTGTTCAATAATAAAGTTGAACGACAGCAATAAAGAGAAAGTAAGTTAAAGGGGCAGAGAGAAAGAGAAAGAAAGGGCGAATTAAGGGGGGTGGAGTGAGGTATCAGGATTTATTCTTGGAGGTTTGCGGAGGGCCTCGCGGGTATTGTTGAGGGCCTGGGTTTGAGAGGCTGGTTTGGCGACGGCTTCCTTGGCTCGTTTTGAATGCCGGCAAGCAGCTCGCTCTTCCGGATACTCTTCAGGTCCAGGTCACCGTAGTAATCCTCACTGTGGATCAGAACCGAGAAAAACCCGGAGGTCAGGACATGCACGGTGCGGTGGCTACTACTGCGTGGTTACGTGGCGTGTTATTGCCGTTATGCTTGCAAACGAAATGCACATGCATACATAGAGGAGAGGCTGCGTTAGCACATAATCGTGAAAGTTTACGAAAGTATTCTTATTCAGAGCATTACGGGGTAAAATAAAATGAAAAAGAAGAAGATACATATTGTAATTGTCGCGACGTCCGTTTGCAGTTGAAAAGTCTATGCGAGTTTTCACGATTATTCCTTTATCTTTTTTCTTTTCGTATATTATTTCCACGCATCGTTGTGTAGATTTGAAACAGATTAGAGCAATATTATCCATCATAGACATCGACTTTTCCTCTACACCATAAATTCGACAAATAGATATATGTAAATTATATAGAGAAATATCAATTTTCAATGATGTTATTGATCTACACAAAGAAGGGGAGGGGGGCAGCTAGTGTTACAACGAAACATTAGAACGGTAGGACAATTAACATACACGTTAGCTACATGTTAGGAAATCATTAACAAACTTGTTAGGAGACTCGTTAACAAACATAATCAGCAGAAATTGGCAGACACAGTCACTCGCTAATTCACGATCAAGCGTTCCGTGACGTTCGCAAAAGAAAGAGATAGGTTGTTTGGTTTTTTAAACGCGCGACTTTTCGCGTGTATAATTTGTACTTGTGCATTATTTGTATTGCGACACGTCATTAACGATCGCGAAAGCTTGCCGCAACGTATTTTCTTAATTACAGATCATCCGCGGGTGCAATTCTTACGCGACGTCTCCGAAAGCTCTCGGACGCGATTCCATCTTCGAGGAAACCGGAGAGTTTCTCTCTTCAAGAACTGTAATTACCGAGATAATCGAATTCAGATACTTTGACGCGTTCGCAATCATTCATTGCACAATGCAACGTCGTTAACGTCCCTCTTTCGCTCTCGCCGGCTCTTCGTGATGTGTCTTTTCCTCGCGGATTACAAGGAATAATTGTAATAGTAACAGATAACGTGACGCGAAAAATGATTATATCGCATTATCTAATTCGGTGAAACCTTGAACTCCGTGTCACCGTTCGTTAATATTCACCGACGCGCGCGCGAGATGAATCGTGCCGAATTCGGGTACATTCAAATTACTCATTCACGTCGCGTTCGATTCGATCGCGTGGTCTCGCATGACTCAGATTAAAGTTCGAGAACGTTGAGAAAAATTAACTTCTCGGCGAAGCTGAAATAATCAATGACTGTGCTTACCATCCGGGTACGTCCTCGGGATCCTCGCAGGCACCGCTACCGTCGGCATCGCCGATCTTGAAGACGGTGCCGATCGGACAGCCGTATTCCCTGGCGATGCCTTCGAGACATATGTAATATTTCCTGCAGTCCTCCGGATGGGCGTGTCTACTGAAGCTGCCGGATGCACCGCTCACTTCACCCGCGGCCGGACACGTGAAACCTCCGGCGACCTCTGCGCAATGCGTTAAACTGGATATTGTATATACAGGGAAAGGCGTCGCGATTACTCGTGATTGCATTACCGGTTGATCTCGAGTTGGCGAACGGAAAAAAAAGAAAGATAAAGCAAACACGCAAAAACATACACATGAAATATAAAATATGTACGCAGGATAAAGTATATCCGTGACACTTTCGATCGACAGAAAGTTGAGAGGCGATTTGATCACGCGTAGTGAGTCGTCGTATAGTTTTGAGGAAAGTTATGGTTAGATATTATAGCGGATTTATCTAAAGAAGTAGGACCAACTGTCGTCGTTGGTTTGTGCAGTTTGTCAATTGGCCCGCTGGGAAATCGTGACGTAAATTTGATAATTAGGACAATGTGCAATTAAATAAAATCAAGGTAACACTGCGAATACGCGAAAGTCAACGTGGACAAGTAGAAAGGAGCGGATGTGGCAGGAGTCGTGACAGTTTTATCGTCCCGACGTAGAGAGGCGAGTTCGAGCTCGGTACGTTCTACGTGTGTTCCATTATCCGCGTCAAATCGTCCGTGACGAGTTCCTAAGTAACCAGAGGTATTTGCACGTTCTGTGTTACTGATCTACTGATCTATTCTATTTGTTATATTTCATTATCTAACATTGAATGCAATGAAGGGCTCTTCACAGTTTGCTAATTCGTAACTCATATCTATATTTATGGTTTTAAATGCAAATTTAAAATGGCTTCTTATAATTTTTCTCAATTGTACAGTCGTCGATTTCCTTTCCCTTTCTTTTCCAAAACGGATCAAGCAAGATCCGGAAATAAATTCTTCCTTTATGTCGAGAAGCAAAAGAAACCTGTACGACGACCTGTTGGTTATTGAACTCGCAAAATAAGAATGGGTATAATTGAACGGTACGGTAGGGTTAATTAATTGGCGCATGACAACGCACATGCGATCGATTGAATTCGATATTCGGTTTCGGTACCTTCGTTTCTGCATTCGGGCACCTGATCGGCCCACATGCACACCCTGGCTTCGCGGTCGTAGGCCAATCCGGGGCTACATTGGTAACGGGAGGCCTCTCCGTTCCAACAGTTCCAGAACACGTCGCACTTCTTCTCGTCGGGGAAGATGCCGTACAAGCGGGCACAGTGCGGCGTGCTGATGGGCGGCTCCAGCTGCGTACGTTCGCCGCAATCCACGTTGTGCAGGTAGTCGCAGTTTTCGGTGAGGAACTTGGCGTCGGTGGCGTCGAACGCCAGACCGTTACCGCATGTCTTTAGTTCTGCCGCATTGTTGTCGCACTTCCAATATTTGTCGCATGAACTGTGGTGAGGGTAGAACCCGAAGTCGTCGGGGCATTTGAAGTTTTCTTGGCCGGTCGTTCCTGAAACGATGAATCGAAGGTTGGACGTGATATGAACGCTAATAATATTTTATAGGCAAAAATTTAGATTCTCGTCAAGATTTGATTTCGGAAAGTCGTTTTGTCGGACATTTTAATTTTGTAGTTATCACGAGTTTTCCCAATATACGCATATCGATGATTAATAAAAGGACGAAATTAAATGTCGATGTGCAATAGCAAATGAAATATTGGTAATGAGGTCTACGTAACCAGCTGCAATTTCCAACATGTCGGAGTTAACGGACCAAAGAAGCCACAAAGCAGGCGCGTGCGGTTACTTTCTTTCCTCAGATTCAGAAGTACAATAGAAAGTATCGCGAAAGATAACATCCCTTGTTTTCTAACGTTTCCGGCGGGAAATGCGGAAAAGTACTACGTTTCGGCTCGGTGCGGCCAGCGCGTCGATTTCCACGAATTCAGTTAAAGGCAACCTCGCTTACGGCTCGATATCCCTGTTGGCGGCGTATTTCGTTGGAAATCGCGGACTAAGATTAACCGTTTGCCGTGAATACCTGCATTCCGGTTCCCTCTTTCCGGTTGACGCTTAATCGACGGTCGCGTAAAATACGGCGCTAGCAACAGGAAGTCGATACCGTTCGCGGGGTTGTTCGCGGTAGATAAAACCCTGCCGAGCCGCTTTTTCGCACGGTATGGGCCGCCATGCTAATAGCGCCTAATCGCGCCTCTTTTGCGGGGGCACATGACGCCTGAATATCTTAGCTAAAATGTCTTATGTAAGAGGGGCACGGGACGGTAACTTTCGCCGGGGCGCTTTCACTTTGGGCCGCTCGTGACTGCGCGCCGGCCTTCCCAGCATCCCGTTCACCGGCCGCGTAAGTCAGTGCGTGTGTGGGTATATCGGGCGCGCGTCCGCGTGGAACCAGCTGTATTCACTTTCGTTTTCTGCAGGACCGGTACCGAAAGCGACTTCGAAATATTCACCGCCGGCTTGGGGGACGGCCCCCCTCGTGTCGTGGCAAGTTCCGTTCGCGCTTTTAAACTTGTTTTGTCAAATGTACATTATTAGATTATTATATAATTGCCTGCTCCCGGAATATGTACACGTGGTGATTTTACGTAAGAAGGATATCGAATTGTATCTATCGTATCCCGAAACGGTTTCGCCTTTTTTGGGATAACCCGATGTTTTGTTTCATTTTTCGTGGCCGCCATGCTTTCGATTAAATTGATCGGCGGGGATTTATTATTTGTGTCGAGCGATTGATACGCAATAATCGATTATACGTTTTAGACGAGAAATTCTTTACATAATGCTATATTTTCTAAAGCAAGGTTGGTGCGTTTTTCGAACGCGACGCTTTTTACGTGATGTTTCTTTGTGATATTCCTGTTTCCACTGGAAGGTAGTCAACTTTTTTGTCCCCAGTTTAGAAGTAATCGATCGGTCACTTTATGTGCGAAAATACGTTCAAAATTTATGAATTTGCATTATCTCATTTACATTACATCGAGACAGTTAATTATACTCGTGCAGAATATTCTTGGTATCAATTTATGTAATCGGGAAAACTTGGGGCAATTTTCGTCGCGATGAATGACATCCTTGAACCTTCCTTCCAGTCGGAGGAAACAAAAAGAAGGGTCAAGATCTGGGCCAAGGTTATGCCGCGGCGGCGAGAAAGCGTGGCAAGCTTTTTTAGGCCGTAGGCAATTTTTAATTATTACGGTGTTTAATTAACGCGGTCGCGATAATCTCAGAGTGTTGAGAAATCTGCTGCCTTTAGAGACAATGGAAGCGTTTACACGATTTTATCTCCAAAAAGTTCTACAAGAAAAGTAAAAGATTTTGAAGCAATAAATTATGAATCTTGGGAGATATCTTTTTTGTCAACTGAACCAGATAAAAAAATGAATATAATTAGGAGAGAAAACGTGAATTTCTGTGATATCGAGCAGGATAGAGTCATACAATTATGGGTATGCTATACGTATAATTATGGTTACGGTTCGTAAATTATAGTTTGGTTCAACTACATAGTGATGAGAAATCTTCTTTAGCACACTTTCTTGTATCAAGAAACATTTAAGCCGAAAGTATTACCTTGTTATTTATACAATATATGTTATATTCACGAGCGGAAAATTTTTTCAACAAATCCGATAGAAATTAAACGCGTTTAAAATTTCTATCGAATATATATCACTTTTGTTTGCTGAGAAAAGTAATTTTTTCTCAGCAATTCTTTTATCTCGTAAGAATTTAGAAACTTTCTATTTCAAAGCTTGTTTTCTAAAATTTGCTGTTGCTCTTATCAATATTTAAATAAATTTATTAATTTTTAAATCTTATTAATTATTAATTTTATCAGCTAATTGTAAATTTTGTTAAATGGTCCAAAAAAGATATTGTAAGAACAATAAAACAACAGCAGTTTATATTTATATAAAAACAATTCACATTAATAAATAATAACAAAATAATTATTAGTCGAATCGAAACTCGTACATTCGTCCACGCGAACGTGAAACGAGCCGGTCGCCATTATCAAAGTTCTAGGACTGTAAGGATTATTTTCGCGGATCCTTCGTTCTGGCGAGATCCGCGCAGGATTCAGTCCCGAATTGTCCTGCTTTCAGCGCACTGCTCTACTCTACACATGATCACACACTGGTAACGACATGTCCCATTCACTGCCTTTTCGTTGAAGTCAAAGTTGATATCGCATCGACACTCACGATTTTCCGAATCAACTGCGGCCCATTTAACTTTGCCATCCTCTCTTTTCGCACCCTCAGCACGAAAAATAGTTTCTATTTACGTACCGGCGATCAGAATGGCGGCTATCACGAAGTACGTCCTCATGGTTACGAAAAAGTCGAGACCGTGGCGCGGAAACGAGAACGAAAAATTAAAAAAAAAACGAATTTTTCTACAGGCACTTTTAGGGACACCGCCTCCGCTGCGCCGAGAGAGAGAGAACTCTGTGTTTGGACCCTGTCGTCCTCCACCTTTATATAAGTCATTGGTCACGTGTCTAGGTCCCTCTTTTCCCCCCTACGGTCACCTCCACCACCACCACCTCCTTTCCCTCCTCCTCCTCCTCCTCTTCCTCCAGACACTTCAAGAAGAGGTACACCTCTCTACTTTTCTCGTATTTCTATGCCTCCTCTCTCTTTCTCCCGTCTCTTTCTCCCTCCGTCTTTTAGGTTCACTTCGTGACTTTCTGTCTCTTTCCTACCATCTATGATAATATCCCCGTACTCCTCTCTTTTAATTTTTGTTTCTCTCTCTCTCTCTCTCTCTCTCTTTCTTGCATGCGTATTACAAAGTAGATTTTTAGAACGAAATATTAATAACGGCGTTCAATGCATTTTCGCTCTTGTCAGTTTTAGATGTTCCATTGAAATTATTGAGCGCAGAATTTCTTTACATAAAAAAAATTTGTATTAGTAATGATGATATCTCAAGTGATATTTTAGAATGCATACGTGTATTCGGTACCTCTTAAACAGGTTTTCTTTACAAAAGTTTTGCTTCAGAAACATGCGCTTATTTCATCTTTTTAAGTGAAAGAAAGCGCAGCCGACGAGTATCGAGCCAAAGTTTCCTTTGTTTCATGCTGTAGGTCCGTAACATCGGCTCTGCTGCCAAAGTAAAAATCCCCTTTCCCTTCTTCTGCAAACATCGTGCGAAGGTTTCTCGTGAACGACGTCTCGCCTGTTGCTTCTCCATCCTTTCGCCGGCGAATCTTGAAACCGTTGAAATAACTTTCGGTTCTTAAATGCCCAAGGGGCATCCTTTTTTTCCCTCTATTCTCGCGTTATCTGCGAGTCGCGCGACCAGTTTCGAAGCCGGCTGGTTTTCGCACCGATTTTGCCGAAGAATGGCACTTCTCGCGCGAACGCTTTGTCCCTTATGAGTCGCGAGATTCCGCACCGAAAGACGGAAAGAGAGAGAGAGAGAGAGAGAGAGAAAATCGGCTGTTGCCATGGTCGTCCTTTGCAATGCAGGCGAAAGGAAGGTTAAGCAAGTAAAGATCTTTGGCCGTTTCGTCGATTAATTCTCGTAAAACATCATCTTAATTCCTCTCGGTATTGAATTTTGATTTATCGAGAGGAAAATTGGCCTTGTGGAGGTTTTTCGATTCAAGATCGTTTGATTACTGCTGAAAGATTAATCTTCTTCAACGTTACGAGCAATTGCAATAAGTGAATAAACAAAGCTATTATTCCGTATAGCTGTCACTGCTGTCGTATAGATGCACGCATTAATTATATTACACAAGAAGATGCAATGGTGGGACTCTCAACCATATCGAAGTTCGTCGAAGTGCTTTTGTAGGCAGCCGGCGTGCCGTCCGTGGACACGCGGTTTGCAGAATACCGGCCGACTCGTGGTTATAATAACAATTATACGCGACTATGTGATACGTGGCTATAATGATAATTATAAGGCCGTGGTGACGGTATCGATACAAAATAATGGGAAAGGAGCGAAGGTTAGATTCGAGAGATACGTGTGTCATTCCGCCGAGACACCACTCTGTTCGGGATCTTGTTCGAGGACGGTTAAAGGAAGACACGTGAACAGAGTTGGGTTGAGTTTGATTGAGACGACACTTCCGACAAGCAATGAACTTAGCGATAAAATATGAAACGTGAAATTCGTTTTATCGAAAGTAAGACGCGCACGTCCGGACATTTTCGTTACAGTCGATAATCATTTTCGCCGAGACAGAAGTAAAAGTTCAGGGTTTAAATTAATATCGCGTGTAGGAGAACAAATATTTACCTAGATTCGGTTCTCCCCTTTTATTGTCTACTGTACTCCTTTCAATGTTTATGGAAGCAAACACTATTATTTTCTTATCAATTTCTTCTTTCTTACACTTCTCGTTGTAATATTATTTGAAATCAATCTTTTTCTTAATTTTTTCCAATTTGAAATTAAAATAAGATCATTCGATTATTCTGACGTAATGATACAATGTTTTTCTCTTGGATTCTCGTGGATCAATAGCGACAGCAATAGAAAGCAATGAGATATCTGTATCCCATATGTGGATATTAATGGGCGTAGGGCTGTCCTTACGGAGAAAAAAAACAAGTTAACTCCGAAAATGGACAAAACGGTTACAAAAGCGGGGTTATGTAAGAACTACTTGGAATTTCGTATGGAAAAAAACCGTTTTATGCGAATTCGCGGCTCTGGTGAATCGTAGTTTTTGGGAACGAATAGCGATGTTTCACGGCGCGCGGTCTTAGGATCATTCGCTGTCTCGTGATTTCGACATTTCGCGCAAGAAAACAGCACGCGATGCAAAAAAACCACTAAAAAAGGCGCACAATTAGACAGAATTCGAGTCGCATTTTTCTTCACTTTCGTCGTTCTCTTGTCCGAGATTGCAAGATTGATTTATTATACTCTATATATATGGGCGTAGAAATTGCTTTAGTTTGTTAGAGAGTTACAACAATATAAGCAATTGAGATTCCTCTTGGATTTCCAACGGTGTAAGTCCAACACAATTTTTCTTCGTCTCTGTTAGACACCGTGAGAACTAGTTTTTGCAAATTTGCGATCTTGCGAAAGGTCGCGTGTCGTGCTGATCCGATCAATTGAATCGTTAGACGTATCGACGCTCGCGCCATTCGTTTATATTTCCGACGGCTATTATGATTTGTCACGTAAGAAAGCCGTATAGGTTTTGCAACTGGCAAGAGCTATTTTTCGCAATACTCGTTATTTTGTTGCAGAAAATCTTTGTTATACAAGAAAATCTTTCGGAAAATTGAAAGGAAAGACCTAGAAATTTCAGAGTACAAAGATAAGATAATTATAATTCAATCTCTCTCTCTCTCTCTCTCCCTCTCTCTCTTCTCTACATTGTGTCAAGTTATAAAAAACCATACTTTAATGCTATGCGATCGACGATAAAAATGTTCTCCTTTTGCCGAGGTTTAGAAACAATCAATCCACGTGTCTCGTCTCGATTTTACGCGACCAAGGACGATTTCGATCCAAGACGGACGCGCATATTAATGCAGGACGCTTTCGACGACAACGGAACTTTCTCGCTCCGTTTAATCTAGTTTCTCGAATAAATCGCGTCGTCGTCGTGGCTCGTCCGAATGAGGTAACTATCGTGTGCGCGAGATTTATAAGCGCTCGATGAATAGCTAGCTACCGGCGATCGGATCTGAGTAACGATAATGATGTAGCAATCACTACACACGCGATTTTTTGCGCGTTTTCTTCGTCAGAGAAAATTTTTCTCCGAGGTCTTCCTGGTTTAATCTTTAACTTTTCCAATTGATCGACGTAACTGAATTATTGTCTAATTATTCATCTATAAGTCATTCCGTATTATTTTTTTTTCTTTGTCGTTCTGAAAAAATCTGATTCGATGATTATCCGATTTGATAATTAATTTTTATTATCGCAGCGCATTCTGCACATTTCTCGTGCGCGTTATCATCGTGCAATGCTTCCGGTAAAAGCGATTTGATTTCCAGTCCCGAGTTCGCGTGGCGAGTTTTCGCGGCACCGGTGATAACTTTCACGTTCTTTCACATTAACGAATTGTAAACAGTTATATCCTACGTTAGCACAACGTTGCGCTGTCATTCGGCAATTGATAATTCAACTTCCATTTTATTTGTTTCCCGAATGAGAATTAGATTAGATTGTCTGACTGATCTCTTACTAATTAATTAATCACCGTTATAACGGATACTTCGATATTTCTCCTCGAGCCAAATATAGAGTGGCGCATTGTCCGTGCGCAATTTCTTCCCATTGGGGAATAATCGAACGCATGTATCGCTTGAGTAAAATACTAATTGCATTTTCGAGAGACGGACGTGTGTCGCGAAAGAAATGTCTTGGTGACGAAAAAGGCGAATCCTTTCCGGATAACGGTAACTTTGTTTCACGTACGGTGCATTATTGCGGTACAGTGGTCGGCATTACGTATGCAACGTGCCAAGGATACGTGCCTCGATGTGCGATTAATATTCGGCCCGATGGTCGATCTCGTCTTTCGGACTAATCCTCCTTCCGCAGAATCACCCTGGTTGCACCTCCTTGGCGTTTCTTTCTGTCTAGCGAATTCTCCTTCTCTCGTGGAAATTCTCGTCCGAGATCGAGAAAGTTCTCTAATAACGCGATGCGATTCAATCCGAGAATCGGACGGATTGTTGTGCGGCGCAATTACAATCGTTGCTCTTTCTCGTATTCTATAATTCGATTAATCGCGAGAGCCAGATTGTCGTCTAATAAAAGGTTTATCTCGCTTTCTCTTCTTCGTTGCTTTCGTAAAACCAACAAAATATCGGGCTGCTCTCGCGCGATTAATAAATTCCGCGAGATTTTCCTACCGTCTCTCTTTGACACGCCGTGAAATTTAATATTCGAACGTTCATCCTCTACTATTAGCGATTTCGCACTCGGTGCGTCGGTGGTTCCTCCGTAAATGCTTCTGGTAACGCTGAGGTAACATCTCGCGAATTGCATAATAGCGTCGTCGCGGAGGAGAGGATGGACGGACGATCACTAGGTCTTCGCCGATTTCGCGATTTTATCTGCCGGCATCTTCGCGGCATATCGCACGCGGGAGTGAAAGTAAGGCGCTCCTCGCTCTCGTCGACTCCTCCGCAGCATCCGCGCCTGGCACCCTGCGGTGATCGCGTGACTCGCGGACAATGACGTCGAGAGGGACCGCTGAACGATATATTAATGAGAAACACTCCTCAGAATGTGAGGACATTAAGAAAATGCTCTTTCTGATGACGATATAATATCACGGCACAATGGCAAGCCTACACGCGATCTGTTACAGTTATAAATTAGATCGTATGAATTATTACATTGTGAATAAAACAAGAATTCGTACATTTCATCTCCGTTGAAATTTTTTTATCTGAAGATATGCGAAATGCCACAAATTAACTTTATTGGAATATATC